AAGCAGTGGTCCCTGCCACGATGCCTCATCGCCCCATGTCGAGCCGACTCCTGGCCCCTGCCAGCCGACGTGCCGCACCACCCCGATGACTGCCCCACAATAGCACTATCCAAGAAGAAGACAAGAAAAAATTAAATTTTTCTTACATCGGTGCGGCACGGAGAAGACGAAGAAATCAATGAAAGACGGTATTTTGCACGGGCAGGATGTGGAAGATTGCTAGAGGAGGGGGAACAAATATCCTTTAAGCTCTCTCTCTCTTGTAGGGTAGAATAAATCGCGCTCCAAAGTTGATTTAACAACCCACTTAAGGTGGACTTAAATAGGCTTTGAGAGAAATTTATTTCCCTTTCCTAGAAGGATCTAATTTCTTATTAAAGAGAGAATCTACATCAAAACAGGAAGCAGTCCTAAGTTTCCTAAAAGCAAGGAAATCTCTACACCTACTGCCTTTTCCTGCGAGCAGCCCAACAGGTGTGGGGGCATTTGTGGAGCCAAAAATAATGACAAGGCGACACGTGGATTTTTGGGTAAAAGAGAACAAAAATACCCTTGAGGCATACCGAGATTCCTACGCGCGAGCGGCGGACAATCATCCTCAACCAAGTAAAAAATGCTCCAAAAAAGGTAACCAATTCCAATTTATCTCATCCATCCTCATTATAGGTAATTACTTCACAACCTATAAGTTATCCCATAAAATAGAGATTAATTGGCTAATTAATGAATTAATTCCTAATTAATTCATTAATCACCAAATTTATCACCCAATTAACCACAAAATACATCCAATTCAACCCTAAAGCTAGTCAAAACCGGTCACCATCCTTTCTCTTTACCTTTTTCCATTTTTCCTTCTATATTATCCCATTTATACAAATTAATCAATTTGGTAACCACCAATTTATTCCTTTAGGGTTAATTAGCCAATAAATTGGCTAATTAAACCAAAATTTCAACCTAAAAATCCCCATTAAGGCCGGCCATTTCTTCTCAAAAAATGGACAAGCCTAACCCTATAAATAGGTTCCTATTTTCACCAAAAACTAATTCCAACACTTTGGCAAAAATCCCAAAATTCTCTAAACACTCATTCTCTCTAAATTCTAATTTTGGCATCGGAGGTTCTTCGGCCAAAGCCCCCCCATTCATCGTGGGCGCGTGAGGCTCTTGGCCTTAACCTAAGGTGTTAATTGTTTTGTAGGTGCAAAATTGTCCAAGATCAAGGAGGAAGAAATTTGCATCCACAATGCTCACTAGCACCCATCAAAACTTAAAATCGAGTTGTTTTGAGTTCGATTCTCACTAAAGGCGGATTTGAACTACATTATTTGCTAGCTTGTGAGATTAAGTCAACCCCCTTCCCTTAATGTAGATAATATTGTTTGTTAAAAAAAAAAACCAAGTTGTCTTAAGCCAACGCAGTGGTTTTTAAGGTACATTGCTCTTTCCTCTTTTCCATTTACATCTTCTTATAAAGGGGAAAAATCGTGTTTACTTTCAAACAAGAATAAATGAGGAAGTCATTTCTGAGCAGATGACAGAGAAGACTTGTAATTTTATAAGAAAAGAGAAGAAGACTTTGAGCCCACACAAAATTCGAAATCCTTCCAAATGAAAAACAGACAGATTCTGTTTTGGTCTAAATTAATTTAGAAATAGGTCCTTCAGATCGGCGCGTGTATTCAAAACGCCATTAAGCTCGCGTGAAATATTGTTGGAGTAGGTGGATTGTTGTAGTTGCCGGGAATGAATGACTAAACAAGCATGTCCAACGTGGGCTCGGTTAAGGTTTAGTGTTATTTTCCGTGTCAAAATACTCCTCTTTAATATGTATACCACCCTATACCATACATGACCTAGTATGGAATCTTACACGACGCATTTATGCTCATAAACGTTTTTACTAGTAGTACCTTGTTTGTGTAAGTAACCTCTTATTTATAAGAGCTTCTCCAATAGGTTTGTTATCTCAGCCCATTTAACTACTTTATCGTAAACATAACAAAAAAATTGCTTCAAACAACCTAGCTATGTTGTCTGCTACATTAGCAAATAAAGAGAAGCAAGCAAAATTTAAACTTAAAATACTATTATTGCACTATTTATGGAGAGAAAAAGTGAGGATGAAAAACATAGACCGTGACGAAATCGCTCGATATTCACTCACGTAAGAGAGGTCGACGGAAATCCAAAATGGCTGGAAATCTAGTAAAATCACAAATGCAACCACATCATACTGTGAGTGAAAAAGTCCACACACGCTCCTTGTGATTTTGCTTGTAGTTCTTATGAGTAATGAAGGGTTGGGAAAGAAAAGAAAAACAAAAAATATAGATTGAAAAAAGAAGTTGAAAATATTGGAAGAAAGAAACATACGTACATATTCAAGTTGACAGAGTCGATTGGCAGAAGAAAATGGACCTGGCTTGTCTGCCCTCTCACTTCCCATACATTCTCATCCCCTCTTATTTTGTGCAATCATAGTTAAGTCACGTCAATATTTTATATTGATTTTTTATAGAGATAATAAGACAAAAAATAATAGTAATATAAAATGTTGACGTGATTTAACCGTGACCACACAAATAGAAGAAGATAAGAGTGTATGAGAAGTGAAAAGGCAGTGAAGCCAGGTATACTATATGTATAAACTGAAGGACAAGATGCCAAAATATGGGTGTATGGAAACCATCAATCAAATGGACGGACCCGCCAGTTCCTCAAACATTGGAAGTCGTCCTTCGTAGTTAAACTAATCCCCTGCGTTTTGCTTTTTCTTTGTCGTTTTGAGATTTTTGAGCTTTGAAATTGGATCCGAGCCAGAAGTACCGCCGCCCAAGCCGACAGCACAGTACTATGATGATTTTAATGGTGGGACTTCCTTGCCTGCGTCGTCCATCCTTCCCGTTGCCATCACATAATTTGTTATTTTACCACCAACCTTTAGTTTTCTTTCTTTTCTTTTTCAATATCCTCTAATTATAATAAAGAGTTTTAACGAAAAACTTACAGTACTATTCATTTTAATGAAAAATTACATTTTTACACTAAAAAGTCTAACCTGGTACTATTTACTTTACCATTTATTTTGTCCTTATCTTTAAAACTCAAAGTTTTCAAGCATTTTTCATTAGTTTCCTATTATAATAAGATTAATTGGATTATTAGTCTTTATGGTGATAGGATAGTCCGAAGATAAAAAAAAAATTAAGATTCAAGTTTGTGATGAAGTCTGTTACGATTTAGACCCAAAATTAAAATTTTTATTAACTCTCTGTTAATTATTAGCACATGAGGCTCACATGTGAAACTAAAAAGATAAAGTTTGCCTAACATGTCTTATGTGCTAACAATTAACGAAAAGTTTTGTTTAGTCTTATATGTGTGGTTCATATGCTAATAATTAATGGAGAGAGGACAAAATATTTAATTTTGGGCCTAAATGCTAATAGACTTCACCACACTGACTTAAATCCTAATATTTTGTTTTGCCACATGAGCTATTTTTCGACTACCCTATCACCACGGGAACTAATAATCCAATTAGGCATAATAATAAAGTTACAAGGTGTGACTTTATTGCCACGTAATACTCACTCGCACGTGTTACGAATGTTTTAATTGTTAGATTTGATTTCTAAAACTGTTAAATAAATCTATTTTCATTCACAATTATCATTTTTTCGTACCACTCAATTTTGCGTACCATTGTACAAAAGCTAAAAGTTATGTACATTCTTCAAATAGTTATTTGATAATGCATTTCAATGATCACAATTGTCTGTATTTTAAGTCATCACTAAAAGAATTACCCAAATTCGAATTGCTAGGGCATAAAAATGTACAAAAAAAAACACGTTTTCTAGATAAAGCTGAAATGAAAATGCAAATCTATATGTTGACAGGGAAAAGAAAAAAAGTTTTGGACTGCTGGTCCGAAAAGAAAAAACGTTGATTAAGTGGGCTACAACCCAAAAAAAATTAAGAGCCCAAAATGGGCCGAAGAGAAAAAAAAAACACTTTTTTTTTTTTTTTTTTTTTTTTTTCTGAAAAGGCTCAAACAGGGGCGCAAAATTGAAGGCCGAAGCTGGGCTTGGTTTGACTCGGCTAGGTGGCAGCTCACTCAGTGGCTTGGCGGATCGGCTTGCACGACTTCTGGGCGTGAGGAAGGGCGCGGCTACAAGCTGCGGCTCCAGCACGATTTAGGGTTTTTTTTTCTTCGTTTTTTTTCCCTTTGCTTATTCATACAAATGCAATTCACCACAATAATAATAATAATAATAGTATAATATAATTGCGAACAGTAATTTGAGTAGAATATATGATTCAGTAATTGAGGGTTCATACTCAATGGTGAATGTCTCGTGCAATTAGGCTGAAAAAATATTAATATTTAGACTGTGTTTTAGAAAAGCCTAGATTGGTGATGATGAATCTTGTGAATGGACCTTGGCGATGTACTTATAACATGTTGTAGTAGGCCTATTTTACTGAGAGAAGAAAGAGGGAGATCGGCCGACAAAAATAGGAGAGAAGGGTTGTGGAAGAGAAGAGAAGGTCTAAGGGAATTATGTGTGTTATTTCTCACTCTATGCCTTTTTATACTAATAAGGAAAGGAAGAGATAAATTTACTCTCTAATTAATACAAGCTATACGTAATCTCATACTCCAAATAAAATTAGGAATGCAACATAAATTAGTTTATTTATTTATTTTCTAATTTTAAACAAAAGATATTATCTATACTAAAGGAGAAATGATGGGTTTAGCTTTATAATAGACTGACAATAATGTGGTTCAAATTTTCTTTTAACAATAGTCAAACCTAACACCTTTTACTTACAAAAGAAAAAAAATACTATTAGACTATACTCGTAAGTGGCGTTGTTGGAGATGTTGTAATAGATTAGATCATCAGCTACGTGCCTACGAATGCCATTACGCAACAATTCCGTTCGGAAACAGACAAAAATCAATTTACGTAAAAAGGAGCTTCGAAACTTCAAAACGTAAAATCTGCAGAGTGAACACACACTCACATAGAGAGAGAGATGAGCAGCGGAGAGGGGAAGGTCGTGTGCGTCACCGGTGCGTCCGGTTACATTGCTTCATGGCTCGTCAAGCTTCTTCTCCAGCGCGGCTACACCGTCAAGGCCTCCATTCGCGACCCAAGTACGTACATTTCTCCCTCTCTTTGCTCTCATTAAGTTTCGGGTTTTCTTGTTCGTTTTGGCGTGTGATCGTTTAGATTCTTGTGATTTAGATTTATGCATGCAGAATTGGAGCATACCCATGTTTCAGATTATTGTAGTATTTTACTCTTATTTTAATTGAAGATTTTGATGGTTTTCTGGGATATTGAGAACCTGTTTGTGCGTTTTGGTTTAGATTTGATGGGTTAGATTCTTCACTCCTTGACGTGTGGAAGTGAGGGAATTGCAGCATAGAGATTTGTCCTTAGCTTTTATGAGTTTTATTTTTATTAAATTGATTATTTTATTAACTGCATCAGGAGTTTATGGAAAATTGGAGACATGGAAAAGGCTCGTTGGTTTTTTCTCTTCATGCAAAAAACTGTGCTTGTTTGTGCTTACCCAATTTTCGGTTCGACCTTCGACGAAGGATTTGCTTTTATGTGTTTGCCTTCTTGGTTATACAGATTTCGATTTGATATGAGAAAAACACGTTTGGTTACTTTAATATGTGAAGTAGTCTCGTAATGGAAAGCTTGATTAGCATGGGTTTAAATGCATTCGAGGTGACTGATTTTAAGAATGGGAGGTGATGCTAGCTTTGATATAGTTGTTTAGTTTGTATGTGGTTTTTCATCGATTCCTGTTCTCTGCAGTCTAAGAGCTCTTGAGCATCCTTACCTTGTAAACTGGTTTTCCAGTGCCAAGTTCTACGCATGGGCTGTGACGTATTTCCGTTGCTATGGTTTCATTGGTTTAGATAGGATTGGTACAGGTTGCTATGATTATTAGTTGGGTACTTAACCAATTCCATGTGGATTGGTTTCAAGTAAGATAACACTAATTGGGTCATTCATCTAAATGACATGCACAACTAGATTCTAATTTCTGATTTGTGGGTGGTTAATGGTATTCATTTTTCAAGTTTACATTTGTTTCTTCAGGTCACATTTATTCTCCTTTTCTGGGATCTTTTCTGCCCCTGGTCATATGATCACAGCCATCAATTTTTTTCACTCGTCTGTCAATCAATTTTTCAGTATGGATATAAATGATTTAATGTCCTTTTTACTCCTAATGGTGCTACCATGTTAAACTTATCATTTAAGTTTGATATGAAAATAGTGCATGTATAACTACGTATATACATGACATGTCCATTAGTAGGAATGCATGTGTATGGATTTAGCCCCCAGCATAACTTGTATGTCATAGATTGTTGAGTCTTGCATTTGTTTTGTTTCTGTCAATGAGTTTGTAGATAGGACATCTTTCTTGGCTCAACTATGTAATTTAATAAATCCGGCTAGTATTAAGCAAATTAATTTACCGAGTTCATTTTGTATTTTCACATAGATGATCCAACTAAGACAGAGCACTTGCATGCGCTTGATGGAGCTCAAGACAGACTTCAACTTTTCAAAGCAAATCTATTGGAAGAAGGTTCCTTTGACTCTGCTGTTGAGGGTTGTGAGGGCGTATTCCATACTGCATCCCCCTTTTATCATGATGTCACAGACCCAAAGGTTCATCCACTTGTACTTTTTCTAATGAATTATTAATTTTTTTTCTGTGCTTTTTTTCTGCTCTGTTCATGAAGGTACTTAGCTTCTTTCTTAAAAGTTATATAATCTGTAGTATAAAAAATTTAAGTTACCAATGAGCTACGTAACTTAACAATATATTCTTCATAAATTGAGGGATCAGAGCTGTCTAATAAAAGTAGATACTTATAATAGTACCAATTGATCATACATTCATGCAATTGATTGTTTGCCGGATGGTCAATCAAATATAATTTTTTTCTTCAATTTTAGATGATCAAGTTATTTTTTATTCATTGATCATCGAGTCTGCAACCAATAGATGTAGCCTATTCATTTTTGTGTCAACCAGTTTTTCTGTAAAATTAAGAATATAAATCTTTCAATTTATAAAAGTAACTAGCAAAGCCCATTTTAACAGCATAAGTATTAAGTTCATCATCATGCATCTACTTGTTGAAATCACAAACAACAGGAATTCGACATGCACTGAAGAAGCCAAAAGATTTTTATAAAGAGAAATTCAGATCATCAAATATTATAAATGACCAAAATATTTGCTGGGAGCGGTATCTTCCCCATAGCCTATGTGGTATAGCACCTGCAATGTCTTCTTTTAATTATCGGGTGGTACACAATGAACCATTCTTCAAATCTTCTGGCACAGCGAATTAAATATCACAAGAGACAAGAGGTTATAAATTAAAGGGTGATATAAGGTATATATAAGAGAGAAAGGATAACTGCTCCAGCAACATAGTAAAGATATATTTTCTCTTCCTTATTGTGTGTTTCAATATGGACGGCAGAGTAGTCACTCCCTGCCTTTTGTTGACTTTTTCGTTGTTGGAAGACGCCCTTATTTGTCCTTCTAACTAGAGAATGTGAATACTTTTTAATTGAAACATACAAGTATATCTATTTAAGTATTTACTTAGTTGTGTTCCCGTTTTTGATTTTGAGGATTTTCCGCGTCCAATATCCTGTGCACTCAACTCACTTGTGACTTGTACATGTCCACAGATGGTAGCTAAAAAGATGCATATGCTAAACGTAAATAACATAGGTGTCCTTGTAGGACCCCATTTGTCATGAGTGTATATTAGAATCTTGTAGATAATAGAGATGCCAACATTGATTTGTGGTTACATATAAGCAATGTTAGAAACAATCACGACTGCCCAATATTTGCTGTCTCTGAATTTAACTCCATGAGTTAAGTGGTAACTTCTTATAGAGTTTTGAATTCAAGACTAGCCTTCCGCTTTTGCATGCTAATAAGAAGCTGGGTTATATAGTTTCTAGCTGATACATAGTTGTTGCCTCATTTCAGGCAGAACTACTTGAACCTGCAGTAAAGGGAACCCTTAATGTTCTTAATTCGTGTGCGAAATCACCATCAATCAAACGGGTGGTTTTGACATCTTCTATAGCCGCAGTTGCATATAATGGAAAACCTCGAACGCCTGATGTAGTAATTGATGAGACTTGGTTTACAGATCCAGATGTTTGTAAGGAATCAAAGGTATGGATGTACTGTCATTCTTAATGCTCTTGTGAAAACAAAATATGGCGATACATTTTGATTCATTATGTTGTAATGGTACAGTGGTAAATGCGTACCAGTTGTTAAATTTGGTTTCTATTCCCCCAAGAGTTAACCAAAAGTCAGAATAATATGATTGCAAGTCTGCATGTTCATGAACGACAACATATTTGTTTGTAATAAGCAAGTCTCTCTTGTTCTATAATGAGTGATGAAAGTGTGTGGTAGAGAAGAGGATGGGACATTTTTAGAAGCCAGTGGAGAAACCGGTTCCTTGTCACATGGACATTTTTTTGAGACGAAAGTTCAGTTGACTTATCCATTTTCTAATATATATAACCTTCTGAAATATGTATGTATATATATGGGTGAGTACGTATATGTACAACATATGTCTGTCCACGGAACATGAAATCACTAATAAGATGGTTTCCAAGAGAAATGTAGTTCTCCTCCTTATCAAATAGGTTTCGGTTTAGATCACTTTGTGGGAGAAGCTTCCCTGAGAGTTAACTTCCAATTTCCTTATTGTAAGTTAAAAAAGCACATATGTTGGCCTGACCATGATAGTTGTTTCTTATGTTGTAATGTCTTGTCATCTTAATCTCTCATTCTGATGTTATGTTTTGCTATGTGGTTAAATGCACTCAATCTACGAACTCTGATACCTTAGAATCCGGTGCAATACTTGTGTTTCCTTGTTGAATTTAAGAAATGAGATTTCTTTAATGCTTAATGGTTAGTACTCAAGATTTCATATTATTCCATTACGTGGCCGGAACCAGTTTTTCATAATTGGGGCCTCCCATGCCCATAAGTATAGTGTAGTCACTAAACATGTAGGTATATTGTTGTGTTCTCAATGCCATACATTTGCTTCATGTTGATGATGTTGTATATAAGGCAATGTTATGCCAGGCCTCTAAGACTTTAACTGCCTTTTTAAAGATTTTATTGGCTTCTGCATTGATTAAAATAGGGATTCTTTACTATTCCTCATTAATATTGTGGTGAATATTTCATTTATTTGTAAAAAAACATATTTAATTTCCGTTTACCCCTTAATTTCATCCAGCTATGGTATGTGCTTTCAAAGACTTTGGCTGAGGATGCTGCCTGGAAATTTGTAAAGGAGAAGGGTATTGACTTGGTTACAATTAACCCTGCAATGGTGATAGGTCCTCTGTTACAGCCAACACTTAATACAAGTGCTGCAGCAGTTTTGAATGTTATTAAGGGTAACGTTTCTTTATTGGTGTATCGAATACTTCTTCATTTCAACAAGTAAAACGTTTTCTGCTCAAGAAGCTGGAAGAAAGACTAAATGTCTTAAATAGAACCTTGGGTGATAATATAAATGGACGTTTCTTCATGTTGAGTCAATGTGATGCTTATGGTGGCCTTTTGTGCCCCATCTTCGTCTACTGTATATATTTAAAAAATAACTTAAAGTGTTGTTCGTTATCTCTTTCCTATTAGCGTCCCGACCAGAGGTGTTTTATATTTGTATCTGCAGTATCTTAACTGGATAGCGTTCAGCGAAACAAACAATGTTCAGTTAAATATATTAATAAAAAAGTTCCAACTATTAGTCTAACGCTTGGTGTGCTCATTCTCCATGAAGTACCTGATTATTTCTTCACTTCTTTGTGTGATGCAGGAGCTCGAACATTTCCAAATGCAAGTTTTGGATGGATTAATGTTAAAGATGTTGCCAATGCACATATTCAAGCATTTGAGAGTCCTACCGCTAGTGGCAGATATTGTTTGGTGGAGACAGTTGCCCACTTCTCAGAAGTTGTGAGAATTTTACGTGAGCTGCACCCTACTTTGCAACTTCCAGAGAAGTAAGTCTTTGTGTCCCAGCCAATTTAAATTTGCTGGTAATAGTCACTTCATTTCCACACTAACACTGTCCCATGATCGGATAATAATTGGTTTTATTTTATTTGTTTTCTTTTATACTGAATTGTATTTTACGACAAAAATCAGCATTGCCGTATTTCAAACTTACAGGGTATTATTGGTTTTACCAGTTCTTTTACATTCACAATGAGTATAGTGTTTCAAATACTACAATATGATCCTCTTTCCCATCCTTCTAACTTTTCAATCACGCTGAAGTTGAAGTTGCTGCACTTTTACTGCCTACAGATGCTCTTCATTTAGTATTGCATACCTTGTGTCGAATAAGTTTGATTAAAGCACATGGAATTGTTGCTAAATTTTTTCACCATATCATGGGGCTCAAAGCAATACAAATTTTCATAATCCTTCATTTTCTCGCGATCTGCAGGCTCACATCTTCGTTTTATGAAAATTAGAAGTAAAAACATAAATTCCTAGCATGACCTGCATTGTTCTTGATAGTGTGTGTTGATTCCTACATTCTTCGTTTCAGATGCTTTTAGAAACTATCGTAGGCCCCCTCATTTTCCAGGTGGTTTTAATGCGGTGGTTTCGTGAAAATTAATTGTGTTATTTCCCCTTTTCAACTGGCATTTCCAGGTGTGCGGACGACAAGCCTTTTGTGCCAACATATCAAGTCTCCAAGGAGAAGGCGAAAAGCTTGGGTGTCGAATTTATTCCACTAGACGTTAGCCTCAAGGAAACAGTTGAAAGCTTGAAGGAAAAAGGTTTTGTCAGTTTCTGAGTCATTTCAGTACAGTGAAGATCTTTGCAATAAGTTCAGTCGCGGTGAAACATATTCGCTGCTTCCGGCCAGACGAGAAGGAACCATAGAGTCCTGTCTATGTTTCACTTTGTGTTTCCGGTTTAGTGACTTGCACTCCAGCTTCGTCTTTTGGTTTGAGACTTACTCTCCAGCCTGTTGGTTCCTATATATATCACCAATGTGTCTGCAGAAGAGAGGAAATGGAGTATTGAATAAAAATCTTGGGAGTACCCAGTCAACTCACCATATCTTAAGAAAACCCCAAGTTAATTGTTTTGGTAATTAATGTTTATTGGATTTATTATTTTAGGGTTGAATGTTTCTTAGTGACGAATCTGTCATTTTAGATGAATAAGAAAAACATTTTTTTTTTTGTTAAAAAATAATCAATTTGTACATTTTGTTGAAGGAAAAATTTAGAGAGTGAGGGTAGGAGAGGGACGGCTAGCTAGAGGGAGAGAAAGAGAGCTCAGCTGTCTGAATTGCTTGATTTTCCCTCATGGCCTTATGCCTTTATATATATACTAATCACATGAGATTTACTTGCCTAACAAGTAGTACAAGTCATAAAGAGATTTGATTCTCAAATTCTGTTGGGAATCAAATCCCTTTTATGATTGGTGAAGTCTTCAAATGGCGTAGGCAGCTACGCATGTTGGAAATGTGTCTTAAAGTCCAATCATGAGATGATACTTTACGAACATTTCACATATCAAACTAATTTACTTTAATCTAAGGGTAAAAATTGTTGTTTAAAGCCGTCTCATTAAATGTTATATGCCTAAACAATATATCCAAGGAACCACCACAGGGTGACCTAATGGTTGGGAATGAATTTCAAGCCCGTATTCCACACGGCATGTCTTGGGGTTTGATTCATGGCGCTAGTGAATCACACGATTGTGGCCAAAGGGAGGCTGAAATGCTCTATCAATCCTCCCGGCCCCCATAAGGGTGGACTACCGTGACGAAGCCATCAGCTGGTCCCTCTCTCTATTACATATTCCTTAGACATTGTTTTTTTTTTTTTTTTTTTAAACAATGTCTAAGGAATAAGGAATATGTGATAGAGAGAATGTAATCTAAAGAAGTTAGGTTCAAGAGACATTTCTCTTTCATACACGTTCAAGAGACATTTCTTTTTCATACACATATCCTAAAACGTTCTTGATAATTGACAATCTAGTAAGATTAATACATATTATGTCTTCTATCAAATAAAGAATGATTAGCTTGAGTCATTGCTATGAAAGACACCAAGACAAGTATCTAGGTGCTCAATAGAGAGTCAGTTCATTGAACATAATCAATCAGGAATTCTCATACTCATGTCATATGAGAACTCATTAGTTAGGATAATACAAAGTAGTCCTTCAACCTGAGACACCAAGGTTTTCTTGTAGACATGTTTTTTTATCATTTGATGATGCGTCATAACCACATGGTTTGCTTAGCGCATTGTTGGATCGCCGATTTATTCACAGAGGCATGTGAGTGTACAATAAATGATCTCTAACCTTCAAACTGTTAAAAGGAGAGTACTCTATGATATGATTCAAGAGTCTTTGGGTAGAGTACATGAATGTGATATGTGATTAAGAATATTGAAATAAAGAAGGACCATATTGCATTGCAATTCCAATTGAATAGATTCTTTGCCTCTTTAGCTCAGCTTAAGTATCCATGACATATTGCCAAGTGTCACTCATGGCTTGTGGAAGATGTAAAGATTTGCAATCACTAATCTTCATTAAAAGTAGAATTGAAAGGTAGTTTCAATTCACAACCGATTAGTAAGAGTTCTAATCTCCCACCATATCGCTAATTAGAACCTAATGTATCGTACATAGTGTAAGGTAAAGATTGAAGAATACAATGGAGTTAAGTAAGTACAATTAAATGGATTAATTGTTTATGTTTGGGATTAACTAATAAGTTAATTAATCAAACAAATAAATTCGTATTTGAACTGTCAAACCTATTAACTTAAATTCTATGACAACTTAAAATCAATGGGCCTAAAAGTTCCGTCAGACCATAAATTTATGGGCCCATCCAAGTCTGGTTACGTTAGGTGGACTATGGACATTGGAACATGGGCTCCGTTGTTAGGAAGCTTCCAGTACACCATCTGGCTTTCGGAAAATTTATGCAACCTAGTAAGTATGCATGGTTCGCATGTCCTATTTTACAGTATAGTGTTTGCATCAGACCAAAAAAGAAAGGAAATACAGAATAGTTTTTGTACAGCTGTATTTTACGATGCATTTCGAAACTAGAAGAAGTGTGCATGCTTCACAAGTCCTATTTCTTCGTTGTTCATTTTTTTTTTTTGGTTTAAAGACTAGTAAAAACTTTAATTAAAGATTACTACTACCCAAAAAAATATTCAAATATATTGTGATGACCCATCTAAAATTCCCATCTGGATAATGTATATCATACGCTAATTTAGATAAGTATTTAGCCATACAAGGGCCATTAATCTCATTTGTGTGATATCTATCATACAGACGACCAATTGAAACATCACCAATTAAAAAATATTATACACGTGATAATTATCATTAAAATTCATTTTCATAAGTATATTCTCCAATAACCAACCAAAACTGTTATCCACGCGATAATTACCACATAAATTCAATTTCGAAATATATTCTCCGGTGACCAATCAGAGCTAGGGTTTCATCTCAAAATATCTAGAAAGCCGGAGTCTGTTATATAAATTAGTTTCCGGATACAACTCTTCCACAAAAGAAAATTTTCTCCACGAGTAAAATTAAAAGAGAGAGAATTAGTCAGTCATACTTGCGTCTCTGTCAATGTCTTCTCCCTCAGAGAGTCCAACTATGGAGCCTGTTGAGCAAAGTCATCCGGATCACAAGGCTTCTGTTACTATTATTACTCAACAGGTGGCTTCTTACAGCCTTAGCCCTAACAAGCAATCACCTGCACAAGGTGGTCAAGGTCAATTCACTCCGACGAGCGAGACTGGTGTTTCTTTGACAACCAACGTGTCAGCCGCCGCTGGCGGCACAGATCATGAGCTTTCGGAAGATGAGGCAAACAGTTTGCATAACAACCTGATAAAGGATCAAGATGAATTTTTCAATTCCTTCCCACCTGGCTATAGGTTCAACCCATTTGATGGCGAACTTATTGTGCATTATCTCATGAAAAAGGTCTTGGATCAGCCCTTGCCGCCAAACCGGATCTTTGAAGTTAACCTATACCGCTACAATCCCGAAGTGCTTGCTGGTATTGTATATGTTCTTAAGTATATATGGTTCAATTATATTTTGCATTGATAATCTTTTGAATGGTACTATATATGTGTGAGAGATATTTTATGAAGAAATTTTGCCTAGATCGATGTTATTTAGCACTGCCTTGTTATCCTTTACTTGTTTTAGCAAAGTTTTGATACATAATTGATTAAAGGTCCTCATATTACTACTTTAGTTAAAGTAAAGATTAATTATTATCTTCATGTTGTTTTTGCTTAATTTGTTTCTTTTGTTATACACTATATTTATCAACACATCAAAATTGTTATATATATATATATATATTCTGGTACTATATATGTGTGAGAGATATTTTATGAACAAATTTTGCCTAGATCGATGTTATTTAGCACTGCTTTGTTATCCTTTACTTGTTTTAGCAAAGGTTTGATGCATAATTGATTAAAGGTCCTCATATTACTACTTTAGTTAAAGTAAAGATTAATTACTATCTTCATGTTGTTTTTGCTTAATTTGTTTCTTTTGTTATACACTGTTTTTATTAACACATCAAAATTGTTATATATATATATATATATATATGTATATATTCTAGTTTGTTGGTGAAACTTTTAGATGATCAGAATTGATTACCATATAAAAAATCTGTAACTGTTTGTGTAAAACAGAAAAATATGAGAAATATGGGGACAAATGGTATTTTTTTACTCCAAGGGACCGGAAGTATCGCAATGGAAGTCGCCCAAAGAGGGCAGCTGGGGATGGATATTGGAAGGCGACCGGAGCTGACAAGGAAGTGAAGTCATCTGATGGAGCTGTTGTTGGATCGAGAAAGGCTCTGGTTTTCTATAGGGGCAAACCCCCAAAGGGTGACAAAACCAACTGGATCATGCATGAGTTTAAAGTCAAGGATTCTCCTGTTCGAAGCAGAAGGGGTGAGAATGACATGAGGGTACGTAAATTCTTATTCTTCTATATTAGTTGGGTCGACGCATGAACCCTCAGTTCCGTCTTAATATTTAACTAATAAATCGTCAAATTTTCATTTTAGCATTTTAATATGGTACAGTTCACTATTTTGAATATACAAACATCGTACAATTTTAGACCTGCAGTGCATATATATTTTCAAATGCATATGCCAAATAAAGGACTCATATCAAAAGTCAGAATAATGAAGAAACATGGATTCCTATAAAATTTGGGGTGCTTACTATAATTATATTTGTTTTCTTGCAGTTGGATAATTGGGTACTCTGTAGAATTTATAAGAAGGATGGTCAAAATGGCAAAAGATGTGAAAGTCGAAATCATGCTGAAATACATTCTCCATTTCCGCATAGAATAAATGACGAAAGCATGGAGATTGAGATGAGTGGAGATATTGTTGATCCTTTACATGAGTATGATCCTGCACTGGAGTATGACCATAAATACTCATATAAAGCATATCCTCATATGACACCTCTGCCAAATATTTCCGGTGGGCTGCCAGTTAACATGATTAGCAATAATCGAATTCAGTCTGTTGAAGCAGCCTCTATGAATGCTGGGAGCTACTATGCAAATATGGGGTACTCGCAACCAATATGCGTTAGACCTCCATCGATGTCTTCTGAGAGTGTTCTTGGGCCTTACAGATATATAGATGAATCAACTATTCTTCAAGATGACATGATGTTCGGCATGAAGGGGTTCGAACATAGCCTTTACAGTACAAATAATTATGCAGGGCAATTCTCAGCTTTGGATCATGTTTTTCCTTATACGGAATAACATCCCATCATTGATCGATGGAACTTATCAACTTTTGTTGCTATCATCTGCTTTTGCTATGAATTTTAGGGTTTAGGGCGGATTTAGCTAGTCAGTTAGTTTTTGGAACGTGTTTGTTAGTAGCTCTCAACCATCTAACGGAAGTTTATTAAGGTTTATATTGCGCTACTTGGATTTATCTATGATTAAAGTACTTTATTTGTTTTTATAGTACTAGCAAGTAACTGATTAT